TCTTTTTTAATAAATTTGCAAAAATTTCTACATTTCTGTTTTTTTCTGTCAAGATGGGGTGCTGAGTGTACATTAATGAGAAATAAAATTAACTTTTTTGAGTTTAGCAAATGGCTGCAATGAAACAAAGAGTGAAAAATTTAAAGGGGTCTGAATACTTTCCGTACCCACTGTATGTATGTATGTATATATATATATATATATATATATATATGTGTATATATATATATGCTAAGACTCTGTAAAAAACAATGATGTGTCTGACCTTTGCTTCTATTTGGCGATAACAGGAAACTCCGTAGACACACTTCATGTCTTCATTACGAGGCGGAAGGTGAAAGTACACAGTGTCTGCAACACAAAACCAGATTACTCACATTAATAAACGACACGATGCAATCATTCGTACGCAGATACGGCATGTGTGAGCACCGCTCAGAGGAACTGTAGTCTCTTTACATTCATCTGTAACGCCTCACTGCTCCTCAGCTACATTTACAGAACAGTTATGTCGTTAAGTTCTTCAGTTATCTGCAAAGAAAGAAGATCTGTAAATATTCATCTTTTGTTATTGCTTTTTTTAAATTCACTTTTCTTTTCTAATTTTATAGCTACTTATTTGCTTGTTCTCACTTTCTTTTTTTGTTTTTATTTTCTTTTTAATCTCATTTTAATGTTTCCTTTGGTGCGGTGTCTAATATATTTTTATGTCTCCATGATTCACTTTGAATTGTTTTACGTTTCCGCAGCGCTCCATCTATAAAACAGCTTAATCCCTTTCTGCTGGTGCCGCCTCTATTCTCCTTTGTTATTAACTGTGCATTCCAATATCACATACTAACATCCATGTCCCAATACCAGAAACACCAGGGAGTCCTCATGCACCCGGTTTACATTTTGCAGAATGCAAGCCAGCATGCTTTTCTGGCTTTTCTTACCCACAATCCTTTGTGCAGAGGAAGATACGTCCGTGTTACGACAAAGTAGTATGTCACAGCACAGACTCAAAGTAAAAATAATCGTGTGTGTTGTCTGTATTAAGACAGGGATCTGTGTTCATACGTGGGCGTGTGTAAGGTTTAACGTACGCTGCATCTCAGGCGGTGATGCAGAGCAATGCAAAAGTAACGTAATAAGAAGTGTAACAAATACTTCCTACATGGAGTAAATAAGTTAAGCAATGCACTGCTTTCCTGCAGGATTTCACTGCAGAATGAGCTGCAGAGCGAGACGAGGTTACGTAAGAGAGAGAGAAGCTGTTCAAACAGCAGACTGCCAGCGGACGAACCGGATAAACCGGACAAAGTTAACGAGCTATTCATTAGTTAGAAACGGTTTAATGGTCCAGTAAATACAACCAGTGGAATGTAGTTAAGTGCATTTACTCTACTATTACACAAAAATGTTGAGGTACTTTTTTCTTTCCACGCCACTTAATACTTCTACTCTACTACATCTCATCTATATCTTGTTATAAACTGAACTATCTTACAGTTTTATACAAGAACAGCTGAAAAGATGAGTCGATTATATGTTATTAAAATCATTCAGATTTGCCGCTTTTCCTTTCAATACCTTTATAAATGTAATAGTTATGTCAATGTATTGGTGATAATATTAATGATGTAAATGTGCTATTATAGTAATAATGTTGAGGTCTGGACTAAACAATTAGGTGATCGACAGAAAATAAACCTGCAACTACTCTGATAATCGTCAACATTTTATCGTCCCAGCCTGTTTTAAATCAATAGAAACTCAATATTATCTTTATTTCCACTTCATTTCGTTTGACGGTGATGTCGGGCTGTTTGCCTTCCAAACGGATCCATTTTGGTGCGTTTAAAGACACTCTGGACGTCTGAGATATTCGCCTTTTTTGCAGCGATAAATAGAAAAACTCAAATCATGCTTTTAGCGAAGTCAAAGCTCATCACCAGGGTTTGATTTCCTAAAAGCTTAACTCATGAATACAGTGCACAAAAACAGAACAGAAGAATTGTTCTAATGTAGAGAAAAGAAACTGCAAATGTGAAACCTTCTGCGCTACGAGTGGTTGTTTAAGCCCATAAATCCAAGTGAGGAACAGTATAGATTTTTACTGCTCGATAATACAAACTACAACATCGCATCACAGATTGCCTGAAGCTCCCTTTAACGGCAAAAGCCCACTGTGGGAGAAGTGAAGTAAAAGGCTCAGCGATCGGCCTTCATTCCACGTGAGGATGAAGGATGAAGAGCGTTTTGTGACGTGTTTAGAGTCTGGAACATCAAAAGGTCAGAGTGTGGACGTCAGAGATTAACCAGAGGTCCACGCTGAGCAGCGCCAGGCCACCAAAGCACAACCCTCCAACCTCTCTGCTTTAGGTTTCTTTCTCAAGCAACTTGTTGTAATACTTTGCAGCTATAAGAAGCTCCTCCATTTCCTTTTTTGAGCATTGCATTGTGGGATAATAGTGCACATTTAACGGCACACTCAAAACTCTGTATTTTCATTGCTTTCTATGGTGAACAACCAAAATATAAAACCTGTTTTGAATTCGTAGGAAGTATAGAAATTGAAAAATAAAGTTAAAAAAAAAGAGCAGAAAAGATGCAAAACGACTGAAATGAACGTTGGAACAAAACCATGAAAAATGATTCTTATAGAACAGCTGCAGCGAGCAAGAATGACTAATTATGTTGTCATTTATTTCATAAAGTGTGTGTGTGTGTGTGTGTGCTCTCATGTGATGACTCTGCTGATCGTCACTGTATTTCCTCTGTAACCGACACCCTGTTGTATCAGTGCGACTGCCGTCTCTTTATGAGCCGCAGTGCAGAGGCAGCCGCTCACATCGCTGCTGCTTTGTGTTTTTATATCAGCAAACAGCTGCAGCAGCAGAAACAAAGCACACAGCAGATGAGGAAACGCACGACACGGATCGAGAAGATTAAGAAATGATCTGCGAGACAGATCGCTAGTTTGAGCCGATATCTCTCCTTCGTTCAGGCTGGCGGATGCATCTCCTGCTCTGGGAGCGCGTTGCTTATTCTTGACACGTGAAGACACCGAACATAAAGCAGACAGCAGTGTTTGATTACGTGTTGGTTTAGTTCCTCCTGTTTGCGTTCATTGGACAGCATGAGGAGCAGCGGTGAACCACAGGACTGTCACATGACGGCAGAGTGCTGCTCTCTCTTTACAGCCTGGATACCGAGTCTCTGCTGCTGCTTTCACCCAAACAAACACATTGAAGTCTCTATTTCACCTGTTTATTGTCCGCTGCTGAAACTAGGTTCTCGACCAGGGGTCACCAACCTTTTTCAAACTGAGAGCTACTTCAAGGGTACCAAGTAGTACGAAGGGCTACTTATTTGATACAAACTTCCTGAATAACAAAGTTGCACAGATCACCTTTTAATAATAAGAATATATGTGAAGAGACTGTTTGATCACATGTCAGTTAATTATTCCTCACAATAATTATTAAGAATGATTTCCACAACAATGATGGTATAGCTACACATACATATTTAAACATGCAACTTTTATTTCTGTTAATCTGTTTCAACATTTGAAAGTCAGAGGTATCACATCTCTGATATTTTTGTATCATCACATGATCAAAGCCGGTTACTTTTGCACATAGCGCCTGCTGGTGAATGATGCAGTGGTAATGTAGACATTTTGGGAAGTCTGGGTCACCTTTGCATTGCGCAATGAAGCCTGCATGCCGGCCCGTCATCGCGGGAGCCCCGTCTGTTGTCACCGACACCAGCTTTTCCAACGGTACCTTTTTCTCCACGAAGAAACCAGTAACGAGTCTCGTCTATAGCCGAGCGGGGGATCCAACCCTCCGAGGCGCGCGAGCGTCTTCGGGCGCCCGCGTTCAAACCTCTAGTCTGGGCCTTTTCGGTCGGATTGCGTTGCCTCGCCTCGACCCCTGCCACCCCTGAGTTGTTGCCCCGCGGCCTGTTCCGAGGATTTACGGACCTGACGACGGGGTGCGCTCAGGTTGCGCTCGCGGCGCGCGTCTGGCGCCAACGGGAAGCGCCCGCCATTCAGAACCTGAAAACCTAGTGCGGTGCGGCAGCCTCGTCCTGGCTGTCCGCCGTGCGCCTCCGGGTACCCAACTCTCTTATGACAAGAAATATTGTCATTTTAAAATCTACACTAATGCAAGCGTTTTTGATTGAAAAAGAACAGCAACTACAATTTTAGACGGAGCTCCATGGTGACTAGTGCTATTTTTAGAACATGTCTCGCGGGCGACTCACGTGGTCCCTGCGGGCGACAGGGTGCCCGCGGGCACCGTGTTGGCTACCTCTGTTCTAGACTCAGGGTGGCATAAAAAGTTTCTCTCTATAGAAAGGTCCCTCACAAAGACAGACGATCCAGGAAGTCCAGTTTAAATCATAGATTAACGCATTAAAGAGGTTCATCAGAAGCCAAAAACAAGGCACAACAACTCTGGGAAGTCTCTTTCATCGGGACAATAGTGAGGTGAACAGTAGAAACATGGAGTTCAGAATTAATCAAAGACAGTAAATAATAGCTATTTGTAGCAACGACGCAAATAAAGCTGCAACTAACTGTTACTTTCATTATTCCAGTGGTCTGTAAAAGGCAGAAAGTTGTATAAAATATTCAGTTTTATTTAATAGAAGACAAAGAAAACCAGAAAATATTCATCGTTTCAAGTCTAGATGCAGAAACAACGTCTTTGATCATAAAGATTTAGACGTTTGTGAATAAATATAAACATTGAAACATATATAAAACAAAGGATATAGAATAAACTCACTGATACGTTCTGCTATTATAGTACGGAAACCTTCATAGGTGTTAATTAACATTAATATCATTTTAATATTCTATCGGTGGAGGCTTGTAATAAGCCCAGTGGGTTTTCTGCCTCTTCCTGCACTCTGATATTATTTATCTCTGTTATGTTTTGTGTATTTTTATTATATTTTATCTATAAACATCTGTGTGACGTACCTTCCTGGTAGTTGTGCGCTCCGTCAGGAAGCGACAGGAATGGGAGGTACCTCCACTCCTCCGGCAGCAGGTTGCTGTCGTGACCCTCGTCGGGCATCAGCGGCGGGTACGAGAACTCAACCTGCAGGACAGAGAGTCACATGTTCACATCGGCATGAGCTCTTCTTTATCATACTTCTGTTTTAAAGAAATCAGGATGTTATACTGGTAACAGTTTCATTTAGCGGTATTTAACAGCATTCTTCTCATAGTTAAAAAACTAATTACACACAGTATCTTTATCCAGGGAGTGTTACAATGCTTGCAATGTCTAATTAACTTATCAATTATTAACTGTCTTATTGTTCTCTCTGTGGACTTGATTTTCAAAATAAAAGGTACATATTGTACTTTTTACTGTACTACATCTCAGAGGTAAACAGTATTTCCAGTGTAGTATTAGTACTTTTACTGCAGTAACTGATGTGAATACATCTCACACAGCAGACGGTGAACAGAAGGAGGCTGAAAGAGACGGAGCCGACGGATTAAAGAGCCAAGAACTCGATCTGATACCCGGCAGGAGGTCGCTGACCCGATCAGATGACCTCCTCCTCCCCCGGAGTGGAAACAAAGAGCTTCGTAGGGTCTCATTCTAAAATAAAAACAAAGTCTTGTTTCGTCTTCTGCCTTCATGCAGCAGCTGCTTCTGAGCCGCCAGCTCGGCCCGTTAATGTGATGAAGAGGAGGCGATTATGAGAAGAGGCTTCAGGACGTAGATTAAAAGTAAAAACAGGTTTCAGATGTGAGCTTTTCTGTGTGGTTTTTGTAAAAAGGAACCAAGCTGAGGCTTTGTGAAAGAAAACGTCACGTTAGTTGTGATTGCAGGCGTTGTTTATATCATCATAAAATGGTTAAAACTTGTTTTCCTGCTCATGTAAGCTGCGTTATAACTACAACTTTAGATAAATAAACGATGTTGCATTATTATAAAGACACTTTATCCTCATTTTATCCATCTGTTGAGTCTAAAAGATGTCCGAAAACTGTTTCATTCAGTTAATTAAGATACAAAACTGAGACAAACATCAAATCTTTACTTTGGAGAAGCTGCAGCGTGGGAATATTTTGCATTTATTATCTTGAAAAACATCTTAAATGAGTAATTATTTATCAAAATAGTTGATGATTAGTTTAGGACTACTCGAGACGATTGATATTTTACTGGCAAAACTATTTTCAGGAAAATATTATTGTTGTTTCTTTTGCAAGAGATGATAAATAAGTAAATACTTTAAACACCACAGAGGAGCAAGTGTCTCAAAATATTTGTTGTTTAACTAAACATCCTCACATTGTTCATATCCGGGTACTAAATCAGCCAAAAGATGACGAACAGAGAGGGAAGATACACATTGTATATTAAGACACACAGAGCTGCTTGCAGTTGAAAAACACTGAAGTGGAAAGATGCCCAACCTGGCAGCAGAGCACATGTTACATAACCCCACAGAGCCCACAGCGAACAGCTGATGTTGATGCTAATGTGAATTATCACCCTTGCACTGACACACAGCGAAAAGAAGAAGAAAATACTCACAACAAGTCAATCCGTGCGGAAATAAAGGCGGAAATGTGTCTTTATTATGAGTCAACTAGGCTAGCAGCTAGCTGCGTTAGCTTAGAAAGAAGCAGGTGTTCGTGTTTACCTGACAGCCTTTTTTGTGGTGAAATCCAACCACCACGATGTGCAGCACCGGTCCCTTCGGCTCGTCTCTGCCGTGAGACTCCATCCCTTCCTCCACACCCCCACCTCCGGATGTAAACACGGCCAACAAAAACGGATTCTTTGCCCCCTCTTCCACACACACACACACACACACACATACACACACACGCGCGCGCGCGCACTGGTTCCGCTGGACAGGGAGCACGAACACAAACCACCGCGGAGACGATTCTCTCTCCTTCCGCTTCGTCTCGAGCGTGTCAGAGGACGGACGGAAAGCGAGAGGGTTCAGTGCAGCGCACTTCCGTCTTCGTCAAAGCTTTGCGAGGCAAAAAGAAAAGTATATATTATTTTTTTTTAATTATATACATATAGATTTTTTTAATTGTATGTATATTTCTATACAAAAATATAAGAAATAAAATATATATATATTAAAATATTTATATATAAATTTTTTCCTTAATTTTTTGAATAAAAAGATACTTTAAATATACATATGTATGAATATATTATATTTTTAAGTATCTTATATGTATATAAGTATATTTAAAGAAAATTAAAGAACATTTTATTCACAAAAGTACAAACATTTATTTTTAAAAACAAGATAAAAATAGGCAAACATTAAAAATAAATAAATAATAATACAATGTCGCATGAATAAATGTAAGTTTAAATAAATCACCATGTTGTAGACGCAGTAAATACAGTTAAGTGGATAAATTCAACTGTAAAGGCCTGGTAAATGCAAAGAAAACAAACAATAAAACAACAACTGACTTCCACCGCTGGACCGGGCAGACAACAGAAACTGTGGTGGGGATCCATCTTGTCCTTGACTCTGTCATCTTTGTTACAGTCAAATAATTACGTCATGTATTCACGAGCACAACCGGGGCCATCGTGTGGAAATAGATTGAAAAACATAATTACATTGTTGGGTCCTGTCAGTTTCTGGTACACTCATTCAATCGTGTGTTTTTATAGATTTCTGATTAAATTATACACAATTCAAACGGATCTGTGACCGTTACAAATAGTCATTCGATGATTGAGTCTGAGCTCGATTGCTTTAGCCTGCTCACTCGCCTTCTTATGTCGATTGCTTCCGCCTGCCGCCCATTGAATGAACATGGCGGCTGCTGCTCCGACCACGAATCCGTCTCAGCTGCTCCCACTTGGTTTGTAAACTCCTAATTATGTCGAGTTTCTGTTTCTAAATATCTGATTATGAATCAGTGATAAAAGTCAGAGTGCACGGTGGCAGGTTGAAGCGTGAGTTCAAGATATTAGGGAGTTTTTTGAGAGGTTTTGTTAGCTAGTTAACGTTAGCATCACATGCTACAAACGCATGATACTCGTTATTATTAACGTTAGCTGTCTTTACTAATTAGCATATCATACAGATTGACAGTACAAATAATTAAATGTATTTAAAGTAGCATTTTCTTCGCACCAAAATGTCTTATTAGGAGGTAAGTTAATAATTTTAATAATAATAGAATATTAGTGGAACAGTCAGTTTGAATACTTTTATATAATACTTTAACTTAAGTAACATTGTCAATGTTACACTTGTAACAGAGTATTTTTACAGTGTGGTATTAGTACTTTTACTTCAGTAAAGTGTCTGAATACTTTGATTTTCATCCTATCAGATCTGCCTGAGAACATTATTTAAATGTGTTGCTTTGTTTTAAGACATCACAATCAATTAACTGAATAAATATACTTATTACTAATGTACTTGTATTTGGGACTTTTGTCCAGTTTAAACAAGCAATTTGAAGACTTAAAGCAGATTAATTGACAATGAAAATTGCAGGACTGTGTCCGATAAAGCTCTTACTGGCCGTGATTTATTGTATTTAGCAGCAGAAAATAAATAAAAGTGATTGTTTTCATTATAGATTCATCTGTGAGTAGTTTCTCAATTAATAAATGTATCATTTTGTTACAAAATGTAAAATAAATAGTGAAAAATGCCCAAAGAGCCGTCAAATCCTGACATTGGAAAAAGCATTTTTGCTCAAAACATTACTTAAATAATCAAATTTATTATTTAAAAGAATTCCTGATGATTTTTCTGTCGCTCAACAAATCCTTCACGCTCTAATATTTATAAGGTAGCCTCCAAAATTGTGCAAAAATATAAAGACCGACTCCCTGATCTGACTTTGTGTTTCTGCTTTTAGAGCTTGTGGACAAATGTATCGGCTCCCGGATTCACATCGTCATGAAAACCGACAAAGAAATCGTCGGCACCCTGCTGGGTTTCGACGACTTCGTCAGTATCCTTTCCACATTTATTACAATGTGACAGAAAAAACATGAAATAATAACTGCAATAAACTGCCTTATTTTACCGTTTTCTCTGAATATTGTCCCAGTTTTTGGTTCTTAACTCTGTGTGTTAGATATGGTCCTAGAAGATGTGACAGAATTGTAAGTACTCCTCTTGTTTTTACATGAATTGTAGGATTTTCTAAGCCTGAATTAACTCATTAATCATATCTGTGTTTCAGTGAAATCACACCAGAGGGACGGAGGATAACCAAACTGGACCAGATCCTCCTCAATGGCAATAACATCACCATGGTGTGTAAATACGCTGCATGTTCTGCTCCATTACCTCTCACACCTCCACACCACCTGGTGCTGTTGTTGTAGACCTTCAGTGTGATTTAAATCTGTACTTTTTCTTCTTTTTCTTGCAGCTCATACCCGGAGGAGAAGGTCCTGAAGTATGAGAAGAGAGTCGTCATTGAAGAGTTTTTAGGCGTGGATTTAATTTCCTGTTGTGTTGAGTTTATATCGTTTTTGTTTTTTGGATCATTCCTTCGTGAGTGAGGAAAATATTTTTGTAAGATTCCCAAATTGAGTATTTGTTAACTATCATGAATCACACATGACAAAAAACTTTCTTTCTTTTTTACAAATAAATCATTTGAAAACACAAGATTTCCTTCATTATTGAAACGAATAGCTGTACAACTTAAAATAAAAATCGAACGACTACATTCAAGCCAAGCGTTCAGCCTCAAAGCAGCATCCTAATATTCTACGTTTACAGCAGTCTTTGAACTTGTCTTGGTCTTCTTCTCTTTATTGGTTACCCAGGTGTCATTCTTCGATATCAGCCAATCAGTGATGAGTATTTCCTCGGAGGGTGGGACTTAAGTGAACAGTTCGACTTGAAAGAAAAACGAATTGACAGCCGCTAAGAAAACAGTGTTTTGAGGTCCGGAAACATTGTTAATTTATTCAGTAAGAAGTTTTGTTTTGTTTTGTAACCTTGTTAAACGGTAAAATTAGCATTTTTGAAGCCGTTTTCTATTGTTAAATGGAGGAAATGCGGTAAACTAGCTAGCTACCGTTAGCTGTTAGCTCTCACGAGCTGGGAGGAGAAGAGCCTTAAAACAAGTATTCAAGATTATGTGTGATTTGAATTACATTTTTTGCAAGGTCCCATGTCATACGCGATAAAACTTTCCATGCTAATAACAAATATAACAAATAGCATTAGCTTATGGCCGCGGCCCGCCTCATGTCTTTAAAAAACATTGACAATACTCAAATGTTGAATAATTAAATAGATCAAAATAAAACTTCAATAAGTGTCCTTTTATTAATGTAATAGTTAAATAATTGCATTTGTATGTCAAATATGTAATCATTCCAATACTGTTAGTGGAGGTAAAGGGGTCAAGATCAATGGATGAACTTCTGATGAGCTCACTTTTACCTTATTTAAACTTTCACTTTTTAATAAAGTTTATTTATATATGACTTGTAAAAACAAGCAGCAACTCCAGAGTTCTTTACATTGCCGACATATAAAGAATAAAGAATAGAATACAATGCAACATACACATCTATACATGAACAAACAAATGTATATGAAGCCAAACCGTCTGCAAACTACAAGTCATCTACACTTGGATCTTAAAGGATATAAAAAGATTCTGTGACTTCCTGCGTCATCATTAAAAGCTGCAAGAAACTGTCTTGACTTCGCTGCAGCGCTGCTCATCTTGAAGAAGGATTTTTATTACGCCAGCAACAGGAAGTCTGAAGCGGAATCCACCGTAGAACACCACAGACTCAGACCTCATCAGACAGGTTGCTGTTCCTCTTATGTGTTTAGTGGTGGGATGAGAAAATAAAACAGACTCACCAACAATCTCTGACATTTGATTTATTCTTTATTTGAAGATTGAACTCACTGTGCAGCTCTGCAACGGTAAGTCTGAGACAAAACTGATGAGAGAACGTCTTAATTAAATACTCAAACTTATAATAAGTGTTTGTGAGAAATGAAGACTTTAAGAAGTGTATTTATCTAGAAGGTTTGGTTTATTATAAGTACATTTTGTGCTTTACTTGCGTACAATTTTGAGGCTCTTGTACTTTAGTTGAGTATTTCTATTTTCTGTCACTTTATACTCTTCTACTCTATACTCACTACAAGTATTCAGTTACTTTTCAGATTAATATTACAAAATATAATCAAATAAATGATGGTGTAATAATATAGATGAAGAAGTATTTCTGTTTGGGGCAAATTCAAGTACCCAGCAGACAAAGTAAACTTAAAAACTTTAATGCATCAATAATTATAATACAATAATATAATGTAGTATTTTTTAGAAATGGACCACTCTGCAGAAAGAGTACTTTTACTTTTGGTTGGTTGAATTTACATAACTTTTACTTTAAACGGTGTATTTTTACACTGTTTTATTGATACTTCGCTGCCAACCTTCTTTTTCTGTTATTTCCTGACACAGATTAATTTCCTGTCTGTCTCGTGTCCTGTATTAGTTATAAAGATTCCTCTCGTCTTTTTGCATTTACCTTAACTGACTATCAGCTTATAATGTGTGTATTATTGTTATTATTATGTGTATTTGTTTAAATTGACAACATAATTCATCTTCGTGAGTCTTCGTCAAGGTGAAAATAGAAAGTTGATTCAACAATTCTGACACATCTCGTCTCATCAGTGGTTGAAGAGGATTTTAAATCTTTTACTTCAGTAAAAGTAGTAATACAACGATGTAGAAGTACTCTGTTACAAGTATTAGCATCAAAATAAACTTATTGTACCAAAAGTACTCATTATGCAGAATGGTCCATTTCAGCATCATACATATTATATTACTGGCTTATTATTATTATTGATGGTTTTATTTCAATATTGCAGCTGTTAAAAGTGGAGATCATTTTAAAATGTTAGTTATAATTTAATAGATTTATATTTCAATTTTTTAATTTCAGGGAACAGAGCAGCGAGGTGATCTCCTGACTTCTGTCGCTCATTCGGCTCCACTGACTCGGACGCTTTATTGACAACGCAGCAAAAATGGTGTCCACTGTAAAACACACAAGAAGGGAGCAAGAAGAATCATGTTTCAGCAGAGTGGCCAGAGCGATCAGGAGAGCTCTGTCCAGGATCTGTGGAGATACTTCTGGCCCTCGCCTCGGGAACGCTTGTGAACAGTCTCACTATCCGCCTTTCAATCCCCATTTTCAGCCTGACACATGCGATGAGCCTCTTCCTCCGACTAGCACTGACTATGAGATGGTTCCCATAAGAGATGGGCATCCTCTTCAAGGTGTAACACACTCTGGACTGGTTCACGCACCTCCTCCGTCCCAACAACCTTCTTTTACTCAAGAACCCCAGAAGAAAGTCTTAACGGACCAAAGCTCCGGAGGAAAGCAAAAGTATGAAAAGTGTGTTCTTTCTACCAGTTGTTCCCCTGACTACATTGTATGTGAACCTCTATCAATGACAGAAAACGTCACCTCCTCTGCAGCAGATGTCAGGGGCAGGGGGATGAATAGAGCAGCAGGTGGTCTCTCCTCCACCGTCATCTCTGCTGCAGGTTATCAACGAGGGGAACAAACACAGGTTGTCCGGGGAAATCGTTCTTATACGCGTGCTTCATCACACCCTTATTTACATCCTCCAAACAGAAAAGACACAGATGATGGTGGCTCCAGATTTAAATCCGTGTCTGTCAGAAGACACAGCCGCTCTCAGTCCGTAACTCCAACTGTCGCCGGCCCTCTATGTGCACAAGGCAGAGCTACAGTCATAAAGGACTCAACCGTCTGCACCGGAGGAATCGTTGCACAAGATGCAGCTGAGCTTTTCTCTGTGGAGCCTGAAAGTGAGCCTGGAGGAGACGCCGATGTCCTGATGGAAATTGACTCACCTGTTGCAGCCGTGAACTACTCTGTCACCAACGCCCTGCCAGAACGTGGTCACCCCCAACCTCCTTGGAGCAGGGGAGACTCCAGCTGCCTGTCTCGCCCTCACAGCATGCCATCGCTGAGTCAAATAAACTCTGCGGAGATCAGGACCCTCAGACGGGCTGAAAGCTCACCTGACGCGCTGTTAAAAAGCAGCTCTGAGGAGTTCACACCTGACATCACCGCTGATGAGAACAACAACGAAATCTTCCGGTTCCGGTGCTCCTGCCCAGGCCTGTACCGGTGCAGCATGACGGGCCTGGTGTTCCACATGGGGGGAGAAGGGGACGTGGTCTACAGGACCGTCCCTTGGGACTGGAGGCTGCTGGTCCAATATTACAAGAAGCCTGCGGGGCCCCTGTTTGACATCAAGTGTGAGCAGCGGTCCGTGCGTGGCCTTCACCTCCCGCACTGTGAGATCCGCTCCACGGGGGGCTGTGACTTCCTTTCGGTCGCTCACGTGAAAGACGAGGGCGTCGAGTTCATCAGCCCGAATAAGGCGACAGAAACTCACGTCGTCATAAGCGTCACAGGGTTTTCTGCGTTCGGTAACGTCAAGGACGGAGACTCGCCCCCCGACCCGGTCCGAGCGCTGGTTCTGCTGTTCTACAGGCCCCAAGCCGACCCTGATCCAGAATCCGTCCTCAATGTGTTGTTGCTACCGAGGAACGTGGTGCTCCGGGACGTTCTGCGCATCAGGAAGAAGACAGTAGGAGATGAGAGCTACATCGAGACGTCCCCACACTGTAAACTGCACCCGAAGCAGGAGTACACTCTGTCCGCGAGTCCTGAAGACCACCAGGTTCTGGTTCAGCCAACTGAAGCGGAGTTTGACAGTGACAACTATGACAACTACTTCCCATCATTCCAGGTGACTTGGGAGACGACGCTGAAACACATCAAGCTGTTTTTGAGGGACAGCGACAGCTCCCACAGTGCCTGGGAAAGACGAGTTTGTCTTTCCGCCGCTGGAGTCAGAAGGTCCTGCGGGCCAAGTGCTCTGAACCTCCCTGCTCGCGAGAGGCTGCTGGACGTACGGAGCGGCTTCGTCGAAGGCATCTCGGGACCCGTGCTCAAAAGTCTGCTGGACAAACTGTTTGAGAAGACGGTGATAACCGATTCCGAGAGGGAGTCGGCAGACGAGATGCGAAACAAGGGCGACAAAGCTCGTTTCGTCGTCGATACCGTGAGGAGGAAAGGTGAAGCTGCCAGTTCAGAGATGATTGAGATCCTCTGTGAGGCCGACCCCTTCCTCTGTGAACATCTGGGCTTGATCTGAAGATTTTAAAGTGTGTTTGCATCATTTTAATGTACTCTTTGTAATGTACTAAAATGACATGTGGTGTTCCCCAAGGTTCAATACTGGGGCCTCTTCTGTTCAACATCTACATGCTTCCACTAGCTCAGATTATGGAAAACAACAAAGTGTGTTATCATAAGTACGCAGACGACACACACATCTACATAACTATATCACCCGGGGACTATAATCCCATACAAGGGCTGGGTAAATGCATTGAACTAATCAACAACTCAACCACATTCAAGGATATTAATCAATTTCTGCATTTCTGCATTTTACTACTGTATTTTATTTCTTACACTGCTTTTTAGTGTTTTAATGAATGTTTTTAATGTTTCAACGAATGTTCTTAATTGTTTTTAAATCTCCTTTTCTTTTGCCTTATGTTTTGATGTTTTTAATGGTTTTATGTGAAGCACTTTGAATTACCTTGTTGTTGAAATGTGCTATATAAATAAATTTGCCTTGCCTTTCCTTGTTGTCCACTGGTATCAAATATAAGAGCTAAAGAGGGCCGAGTGCAGCTTGTGAGTTAAATTCCTGTGAACTCTGAAGAGTTTTAGAGCCATCTGCTGGCTGACAACTTCCTGTTTACGGTCGACGCTTCTCTTAATGTGACATTTACAGGAGGTCGTAGATTAAGTCCCTCCAGTTAGTAGCTGTTCTGGACCTTTTTCAATTCCCTCAGTTTATGGGAGTTTGTCCAGTTTTCATGGAGATGTAGATGTTGTCCCATTTTTCCAAGTACTTTACATCATGTTGTCTTGGTTGACTTAGAAGTTGAGATCATTGGGTCTTTGTTATTTTCACGATTTTGTGGCTCCTCGATTCTTACAGCTTTTTACCCAGACATCAATCTCCATCTTGAAGAACATCCCAATTGCTAAAATGCACCTTGAAAAGCGATGAAACACCGGTGTATCCTTTGCAAGGATATCTCATTTGTTAAAGGTCTGTTGCCTCGACTCCTCTCTCCTCGTGTCTCTTCCTCACCTCCTCCCCTACCATCTCCCTTGGCCGAGGAGGCGAGGAAAGGAATCGAGCAGGCACAAAATTCGGGAAATGAGAAAGACCCATGGTGTCTTCCATCCTGTTGCAACCCGGCTCAATGGCTGCAACGTAAATGGGAGATCAGACGGGTGTAAAATTAATAAATAAGCACATTTATTTGAAGAACACATGAAGTAAACTAAACAAACATAGAGAGTCAGTAATAAAAAAGACAAAGAGTAGCCAGCAAACCGGACACAGACCCCTAGTGGAAAGGAGGCGTCATCACAGGTTCCCTGCACCTACAGTCCACATGTCAGAGTGGGCTTGAACAAGCCACAAAAGGAGCCTCATGGCTGATTTTTATCCCCCTTTCAGTTAAATCTGACCATGTTTATTTTTTTATATTTTGGAAAATGTATTTGAGGGATTCAGTTCCTGTGTGTTACCTCCGTGCACAGCTACTCAAACTGAGAAAAGAATATTAATGATGTATGAATGTGTCTGTTCTGCTGATTGACATGACTGACTTTGTGGTATTCCCCACAAAGAACAAAGAAAGAAAAAAATCAAATATAGTAATGCAATAGACATACAAGAGAACATAATTAGCAGCACATTTATATCTTAGATAGCAGAAGTAAAAGACGATAATGGGATGTAAAATGTAAGCCGTATCAATATATATTGTCTGATTTATAATATTTTGTTTGGTTTCTGTTTTTTAAAGCCCTGATACCAAAAAAACTGATGAGGAAAAAAGAAAAACTACTTAATGTGCTTGTTATACAAAATAAAAAAACATAAACTCAGAAATATGTGGTTTAACTTGTATTTCCAATTACCTTGAACGCAGCATAGACACACTGTTGAGCTGTCAGCCAATGGCTGTTGAGAAGGGGCGGGGCTAAATAAACTTGGCGACCCTCTTGCTCACTCTTGTCTGAGACCGCGGAACCTCTTTCATTCACCAAACATGACAGCTGACACCAACACTAGTAAATAATTAAATACAAACCATAAATCTGGTTTGTTAATAATTGTAACTGTCGCTATTATCAAGCTATTTTTATGTTTCGGTTTCTATTCTGTTGACACACGGAGAGAACAAAGAGAAACCCGGTCCACATGTTCCCGCGTTACATGCCCCTGCCGGCGCGTCCTCATTCGCTGCCACACCGACACCGCTCGACCAATCGCGCGGCATCACACTGAGAATGCCTTAACGTCGGCTCCTCTGATTGGCCCAAAGCGTTTGGCGCCTCTTGAATCCTACTGCAGCCGTAGTGGGCGGTGAGTGCGAGACGGCAGTTTGAAACAGTAGCGGAAACATTGAGATTGGGAGAATTTGTTCATCCACAAACACGGTGTATTTTATGACAGAGCCGGGTTAAACGCGGGAACTAACGGACGCTTTGTTATTCTGTTCGCCGACTCTTGGGCACGTGAAGCTGGTCTCGCGCAAAGTGGTTCTCTCCCTCCTCCCTGAAGCTAACTTGCTAGCTAGTTAGCTGCCGAGCTAACCTTACAGCTAGCACCGGAGCTAGCTAAACACAAAGGACGACTTTGGCCAGTGTTTGTCATATAAATCCCGAATCACTCCGTTGGATGAGGACGGAGACACCTGTGCAGGTAAGAGGAGCTGTCAGTGCAAAGTGTAAACTAATGCCTTCATGTTTCAGACAGCTTTATGTGACATTAAACACATTTTGATGGGATACAAACTTGGCGACGACAAGCTATCGTTAGCTTGAAGCTTGCTTGTTATTTGTAGCTTAGCTCACCCAGTGAACATCAATAGAATATAAAGGCTTTATTGTATATTACGAGTGCTAACCTTACTCCTGATAAGTGCAATTAAAAGACCGCAAACAAACATTCACAGCCCAGCAAAACAGGTTCTAAAATACATAATACAATAAAATGTTGTATTAGAATTAGTGTTTATTACCATGAAAAGATGCAGTTGTTGCACTAGAATACGTGTTGTTATTTCAGTAGGTTTACCCATGAGAAGACAGTGTTGGGTCCTGAATTTAACATGATACTTAATAGTAGAAATACCACAATCTCAAAATGATATTTAACTAAAAGTACTGAAATAGGCCTATTAATAACAAACTGAAAGTAAACGTGAGTCTAATAATTTGGCAGAATATGTCCTTTTTACATGTGTAATAGTGTTGTAAATATTGTAGTAGTCTGTTTTTATCACTAATAATACATGTAGGAACATTTTAATGTTTGTCAATGTGTGTAGATACTTTGTATACTTGTTGGTAGATTAGTAGTACAGTACTGCGTTATACCAAATGTTTTTTTTAATGTAAATAGTTATACGGTTAAAGAAAATGTAGTTGAATACAAAGTACAATAGTAGAGTAGAAAGTAGCATAACATTGAAGTACTAAAGTACAAGTATGTTTAAATTGTTTTTCATCCTGTCAAACAACCAGGTGGATAAGGAGGATCATATAAACTCAGTTGTCAGACTAAAACTGCCGCAGACTGACTATTAATAAATCAGCCGTGTAATGAATCAAACCTCCATTCATATAATAATGTTCAGATTTAGTTGAAGCTGCTTTAGAAATGTGTCGATTCAACTTTTAGTTGGTTTTTGAGACTACAGTTTGTGGTGTTGAGTTCTAAGAGGTGGTTGTAATATTCTGTCCACATCGTTTATATCAGTGAGTTGTTAACCAGAATATCTCATAAACTGGCAGCTGTTCTTGGCAGACAGTGCTGATACAGGGTTCAATGTTAATGTTTTTCTTCACTTGCCTTTATACAAATTGTTTGTATTTTTTTTAGCAGTTATCAAACAACAACAAAGACCAATGCTAATTGTCATGTTTAATCTTATTTTAAGTAAATTAATCTGGAGTTTTATCCTCTAACCATACCCAACAAAACTCCTGTTTCCAGGATATTTGAAATGCTCGTTTCCGTTTAATAAAACTAATAATAAGTTGGTCTTTACCAGCCATAATTGTGCACTGTGCAACTCTCAGAAGAGACATCAAGGAAGTGAGATTCTTCTCCTTATCTTCGTCCATCATCAGCTCTGGAAATGTCTTTGATTATTTTTTTAACCATTTGCCCGTTGGGGATTTTTAACTGGAACTCTCCATTTTTATTTGCATGCTTGGCTGCTTTTATTCTCTTACTCAGTCTGTGTTTTTAAAGATGGCAAACTGTGTCGTGTCACTTACGTCCTCCACGTCTCCTACAATCTGACCCACATCTAACCGGATAATATCTATCCATGACAGCCGTCTGACATGTCTAATCTAAAGTGTGAGATCTCAGTCAGACCGGTCGGCAGTGACTCACGCCGACTTCTCACTGTGTGCCAGATAGATCTCGTTAATACACACGGACAGATGACTGTTATTTACAGCAACGCATTCATTTCCTGTTCCACTTCCTCCAGTTAACAGCAGATTTGCCAAAGGAGTGAGGAAAATCCTGTCAATGTGGACATGTAAGCACAGAAGTGAGAAGTGACGGTTTTTTTGTATGGTTGTCTTTTAGACAGCTTCCAGATATCTGAATCACGGCCCACAGTTTAGATATTTCTTTCTATTCAAATAGAAAACAGACGATTCTCGATTCCCATCCCTACATATGTTTCAGCCCCACCTCCTGGCAAAGACTGAAAATATGGAATATAAACGCATTCAGTGCGTAGAAACCTTCATCCTCCTGCTGTGTGTTTTGCAGGTTGATCATGGTGCTGACAGGGAAGCGCTCGGAGAAAGGTCCCAGCATCTGGAAGAGGAGGGTGAAGTCTGAGTACATGAGGCTTCGGCAGCTCAAACGCTTCAGACGGGCCGACGAGGTCAAGGTTTGTCCAAACACACACACAGACACACTCAAAGAGACCTTCATGTCATGCAGACTGTCAGATGTTTGCTAAAGGGCTGGGGCATACTGTAAACAGGCTGGTGGTCGAGGACACAAGCTCATCCAAAAATCCGAACACCGTTCTCCTATATAAACAATTTTATATCATGTAAGCAGCAACAGGTTATGTCAGGTTTGCGTGCCAACATTGCTCGCTCTCATTTCCTCTTTACGTCAGCAGTTGTTTTGTCCCTGGGATGTTTTGTTTATGTTTTTAACTCTCCCGTTTGGGGTGTTCAGAAATCACTTGAGACACCTTACACTTAGACCAGCGTAGCCCTAAATCCAGTGATTTGGAATAAGATAAATGTTCATATAAAAAGTAAATGATATAGTGTTAAATTGTCCAGATGGAGAAGAGGTGGAGGCGGCAATCTGGCTGGCAGCCGGCACTTGCACAGGCCTGCTTCTATACATCAATAATCAGACATGATGGCCACGTAGACATGGCAGTAAAATGAATGTTTTTATCACCCGTCAACATCCTGTCATATCACGGCACATTTTGGCTGCTTACTGATACGATTCTCACCGTTTTATTTGAATATCTTTTCATCTCTTCCAGAGCATGTTCAACAACAACCGTCAGAAAATCATGGATCGAACTGACGTTTTGAACCAGGAGTGGAGGACCAGGCGAATCCAGCCGGCTCACATCATGACGTCTGTCGGCTCCTTAAGAGGCACCCGAGAGGTCGGTGGATTAACGGTGACGTCTCTGTCGCAGTGTTGTAGAACGTGTTCTGACTGCACGGTTTTCTCTGCAGTGCACGGTGGACAGCGGCTTCTCTGAGTTCTCCAGGCAGGTCATCCCCCTGAAGACTCTGAACGCCGTGGCCTCAGTCCCGGTCATGTACTCCTGGTCGCCGCTGCAGCAGAACTTCATGGTGTGTTTGAACAACTGTATCTAGTGTCAAATGTGTTCATGTGCTTGGGCTGTAGAAGTGAAACAGTGGTCGTTGGTCCGGATCATTTACAACCACAGCTGTGGTTTTTTTGCATCAGGTGGAGGATGAGACGGTGCTCCATAACATCCCCTACATGGGAGACGAGATCCTGGACCAAGATGGTACTTTCATAGAAGAGCTCATCAAGAACTATGACGGCAAAGTCCACGGAGACAGAGGTGAGCGTCTGTGGACACACGGAGGTTAGAGTGGAGGGTGTGATGAGAAGTTTATCAATATCTGAGAGTGTTAAAATACGCAGTAGGTGAGGTCTGTGTGTCTTCCATCAGGACTAAAGGACTGGTGAGAAGGTTAAACGCGATTCAGGAAGTCTGAGTAATAGAATAAATGAAAAGCTTACCGTACAACAAGACTGCACAGAAGCTCATAACACCACGAGACAGGATGTCAGAATCACGCGTCTGTGTTTCGCAGAGTGCGGCTTCATCAACGATGAGATATTCGTGGAGTTGGTCAGCTCTCTGTCGCAGTACAGCGACAACGAGGACGAGGAGGAGGAGGAGGAAGAGCAGCAGGACTTCAAGGTAGAAAAGATGGAGGTGTGTGACGGCAAGGAGCGTCCAGAGGACCCCCGCAAGGACGGGCTCTTCAACAATGAGAGTAAGTCCGTCTGTGAGGTCATCACACGATCCTTTGGGGTTACGAGAATACGGTGACTGCATGCAAACGTTTTGTTTGATGTGTTGGTTGTGAAGTTAAATCTCTGGAGTCGGTGCAGTTATGGAGCAAGACTTGCTTCTATAGACTTCATAGGACTTTA